AAAGAAAAATTACAGATCATCTCACGCTGAAGCATTGATCAAGAACCGTACATGGATCATCGTCGAACGCCCTAAGAATACCAATGTGATTAGATGCAGAATCGTTCTGAGGAACAAATTCAACGCCGAGGGAATATTAAAAAAAAAGGAGTCGTCGCTCGAGGATTCTCACAGTTTCCTACTCAGAAAATCGCTTTATTGATTAAAGCAAGCAGGCAGACAATGGTATAAAAAACTCGACATAGAACTACGAAATCTCGGAATGAAACCATTGAATGCCGATCCGTGCATCTACATCGAAAAACGTGAAAATGAAATTTTGATCTCGGCAATCTACGTAGATGATATATTGCTCTTATCGAGTAGTGCAAATTGGCTATCCGATTTCAAAGTGTCCTTTAAACAAACATTCGTTTTAAAGGATCTAGGAAACGTCAAAAATTGCCTAGGAATGGAATTCAATCGAGGAGACAATTTCCTGGAAATTTGTCAAAGCGGATATATCGAAACCATATTAAATAAATTCGGAATGAAAGAATTGAAACCAGCTCCTACCCCAATAAATCCTGGAATTAAATTAAAGAAAGTCGATCAATCCGAGACTGAAAAAGAAGAAAATATCTATCCTTTCAGAGAACTCATTGGCACTTTGATGTACCTGGCCGTAGGATTAAGACCTGACATAGCCTACGTCGTCAATCACCTGAGTCAGTTTAACAACGCAAATGGAAAAGATCACTGGATTGCAGCTAAGAGAATCTCACGATATCTTCGAGGAACATTAAAGCTCGTTCTAAGATTCCAAAAGGAATCAAAACATCTGGATGGATTCGTGGACTCAGACTGGGGAGGATGCCTAGAAGATCGAAAATAGGATACGTTTTTGTTTTGGCAGGGGGACCAGTAACCTGGGAGGCCAAAAAACAACGTACGGTGGCCTTATCAACCACACAAGCGGAATACATGAGACTCACCGAGGCTTCAAAGGAATCTATCCATCTGCTGAGTCTCCTGAAAGAAATCGGACTGAGAAATCAAAAATCGGTCCAAATATACAACGACAATCAAAGTGCGCATAAACTTGCAAGAAATCCAGTATTTCACTCGAGGAGCAAGCACATCGAAATTCGTTATCACTTCATCAGAGAAGCCCTGGAAAAAGGCAAAGTTTCGATTGACTACGTGCCGACAAGTGATTTTATGGCTGATGTTTTTACCAAAGGGTTAAATGGCCCTAAACATCTCAAGTGCATATCTCAGTTCGGTATGAGATTAGGTGATACCAAGAAAAGTGTTTAGTTCAGTGTATTAAAATGGGGGGTAATTTCGAAAATAAAATTACAAAGACAAAACACAGACTTGTTTGAGGGGAAGTGTAAGGCATATACATATATATTATTGCTCACTACGCTCCTGTTTTGTTAATCAAGCGCATGCGCTCACACTTTAATCTTTTGTTAACCTCCATTACAGTTCAGTTAACTCTATCCAGAGTTAACCTCGAGTCATTCTTATCTTTTCAATGAAAGGACTTATTGTAACTTGGTTATATATTCCTTACTTTATCCACAGCCTCTTGGTCCAATATGTTTTCACCATGAGAAAGAGCGTCTCAAACTCTATCCGAATGGGTGAAAAATGATTGTTTGACATCTAAGCCCCCTTTTCATAGACCAAGTATCATATATTGAACAATATTATTAAAATTCTATGTTACATAATATTCAAGTACAAAAATTATTCGCTATAGTAGCAACTAAAAATTGACAGATTTATAGTGTCAGGCATTATTAATAAAAGAGAAATTCAAAAAGTACAGTTTTACGAATATTGTTTTACTTTATATTGTGAAAGAATTTTAATTATAGGTATTACAATAAAAAATTTTACATTTTTAAAAAAATTATACTATAGTTAAGAAATGATTTTTGTTCAGGAAACACCTTAATATATAAGATAAATACGTAATAACTTGAACATAAATAACACAGCCCCACAAAAAAAAGTGTCGTGCGCGGCAGACCAGACTAGTCATTTCCTATGTATTTTGACGCGCTGAACACGAATCCGAAGTCCGTTTTGCTCCATCACGTCAGGATTTTTTTCTAACCTGTCGGATTTTGAGAGGTAGGCTATTTTTTTTAAAATTGATGGATTTACTTCAAACTTGGTATATAGGGGTTTTTTGGGTCGCTGATGACGAATTTGAAGTTAGATTTTCAAAATTCAAAATGGCGGCTCAAACTTGGTATCTAGGGGTTTTTTGGGTCGCTGATTACGAATCTGAAGTTAGATTTTCAAAATTCAAAATGGCGGCTCTAATATGGCCCCAATTCCAATAGCGCATTCAACAGAAATGAAAGAAAACTATGAATATATGAAACTAGTTTTGGATAAAATTAGATACCGAGAACACAACTGGCAAATTTGTGGAGATTTCAAGATTTTAAGCATACTACTTGGACAACAATCAGGTTTTACAAAAACACCATGTTTCCTGTGTTCGTGGGACAGTAGAGATCGAGCAAATCACTACATTAAAAAACAATGGCCAAAAAGGAATTCTTTCGAACCAGGTTCAAAAAATATAATAGAAAATCCCCTAATCGACCCTTCAAAGGTGATAATTTCGCCCTTACACACGAAACTAGGAGCAATTAAACAGTTTGTCAAAGCCTTAGATAAAAAAGGAAACTGTTTCAAATACCTGGAACAAAAGTTTCCAGAAATCTCTGATGCGAAACTAAAAGAAGGGGTTTTCGACGGACCACGTATTCGCAAATTGTTAAAAGATGAGCAATTTATCACCAAGATGAATAAAAAGGAGAAAGCCGCATGGCTTAGTTTCAAAGCAGTTGTCGGAAATTTTCTGGGTAATCACAAGAGTGAAAATTGGGAGCAAATAGTTAGTGATATGATTAAAAACTTTGGTAAGTTAGGATGCTTAATGAGCATAATGTTGCATTACTTAGACTCGCATCGGGATCAATTCCCTGAAAATTTGGGAAATTACAGTGAAGAACAAGGAGAACGATTCCATCAAGATCTTAAAGAATTTGAGCGTCGTTATCAAGGAAGATGGGATGTAAATATGATGGCCGACTACTGTTGGATGCTGAAAAGGGATATTGTACCTGGAGGCACCAATTTGAAAAGAAAACCATTACACAGATCCTTTAAGGACAAAAGAGTGCGCTACCATAAAAAGACGTGAATACCTTACTTATGTATATAAGCATTTTCATTTCTAGTTTTGAAAATCTAACTTCAGATTCGTAATCAGCGACCCAAAAAACCCCTAGATACCAAGTTTGAGCCGCCATTTTGAATTTTGAAAATCTAACTTCAAATTCGTCATCAGCGACCCAAAAAACCCCTATATACCAAGTTTGAAGTAAATCCATCAATTTTAAAAAAAATAGCCTACCTCTCAAAATCCGACAGGTTTTTGGATGTTAGAAAAAAATCCTGACGTAATGGAGCAAAACGGACTTCGGATTCGTGTTCAGCGCGTTAAAATACATAGGAAATGACTAGTCTGGTCTGCCGCGCACGACACTTTTTTTTTGTGGGGCTGTGTAATTTAAACATTTCAATGTTTAAAAGAAAATTTTTTTTAAATTAAAAAAATATTTATAACTAAGGATTATTTTAAATGTATACCTAAATTTAATTTGTTTTATGCGTATTTGTTATTATTCTTTCAGTACAAAAATTAAATAATTTAGTTGGTTCTAACAAAATTTGAATGTAAGTATTGTGGATAATTTTTAATTCGTTGTAAAACATTAAAAGAAATTTGATTAAGATTTTTCAATGTACGAATTTAACAGAATTAATTAGTGCTGCAGTCTACTCACGTGCAAGAATTTCGACGAATTAAAGGTTGATTCTAAACTTCACGAATTGAAAAGAATTAATGAGAATTGGTTCCAACTCGCGTTGACAAATTGAAAAAGATTAAATATCCTTCAAACATTTTAATAAAAATTCAAACAAATTTATTGATTTAAAGATAATATAAGTGAAAATAATTTCAGATAAATGTATCTTATTAAAAAAAACAAAAATAATAGGAACAAAAGTGATAAAAATATTCATGAATATCATAATTGTATAAATTTATTTATCCCCTACTATTATTTTTTATTAAACATCGCTAAAAACTGCTCACATAAGTTTAAATAATTTAAAATTTATACATTATTTCAAACCTATTATCAATTTTTTATTTGATTTGGAAAATTAAAATCAATAAAATCTAGACGATTGTCAGACCAGAGCGGGCATTCGGTCTAGATAATGTGGAAGTGTAAACTCTGGAACATTGCAAGCCCGATTGAGCTCCGAAAAGTTAGCTGGTAAAATCGCTGCGTTCCAGCAGACACACGGTCTGGCGCATACAACGTGCCGGGCGTGCCGGACACGTTTGTTATCTGGAAAGAAGTTCTAATACAAGAACTTGTTCCAAATTCTGATGCTAAAATTGTACATTTTTTTATCAGAACAAATATTATTAATATTAAGTAATATTACACTGAGATTTAATAGAATTCTCATTTAAGAAAAATTCTACTTATTGTTAGTTTTTTTTGTCAATTTTTATAGATAATTTGCTAAATAGAAATTCGATAATTTAATATTCAACTCCGTAAAAGTTTTTATAAGTTAAATGTGGGTATTAGCATTAAATAATAAAATAAATAAATTTTGTTCTAACGCCACATCATATTCGTACCCTATACGGCACTTACTGTTTACAGTATTTGACCTCTATTGCGATTTGAAGGTCTAATTTTGAAGGTGGCATACATGAAGCTGAGAGTGCCACCTTCGGGAGTTCCAGTGTAGGTTGCTTTTTAAATCTCTCTTGATACTTTGAAAGTGTTTTAAAATGAACATTTTTAACAGTATAGTAGAATCTTTCTAGTATAAGGAACATTATTTTCGGTGGATTATTATATTTTAATTATTTTTATAATTGTGGAAATTTTTTTCAGGGAGGAACGATACGAGTTTATTAGATCAAAATACGTAGACAAGAAATATGTAACTAACACTTGTGCTGATGATAAAGATCTTCTATCAGATTTAGAACATGCCGTTAATAATTGTGATCTACAGCAATTATTACAAGTTTTTGCTGAAAATGTCGATCTATCAGCATCTCTTCCAACCTCTGTAAGTCATTGTTATAATTCGGTATTCTATCAAATGTATATTACTTTTAGTTGCATACATTTTTTAAAAGTAATTTTCATGACTTTTAACCCTTGGGCAGACAAGCTAGTAAAAGTTACGTAAGCAGGCAAGCCGGGTCCATTGAACACGGTAGAATTTAGATTCTTCTCTGAATTAAAAAAAAACGTAGATCTTTGTATTTTTGGTTTTCTTTTTATTATATTATGAATTTCAATGTAGTGCAATATAATAATGATTGTTAAAATCTTGAATGTAAATAAATTTAAATAAAATTCAATTGGAATGAAATTTTAACTTTTAAAAAGTTTTAACACCCATGTCGCATAATTTACAATTGGAATATGCAAACTGTAAACATATTCGGATGTATTTTTGGTCCATTTAAAATAATTTCTAGGATTAACTCCTTTTTTCAAAAGGATTCGAAGAAATTAAAAAATTATATAAGGGAAGTTCACCGGTTGTAGGCACCCTTTTGTTTATGGCTCATAACTTTTGACCAAATGCATATTATGATTTATGTGCGCGTATCAGTGGAAACCTAGAGGCCTTAGGTAACTGTCAAAGAAAGAACAAAATTGATTCCTTCAACTAGAAAGATTTTATTAAAAATTTAGTGAAGTGACCATTTTTAGTTTAAAAAAAAGTTGTATCCGGTTGTTGACAACCTTGGAGAATTCAACAATTTATGTAGTGCTGATATTTTGGTCAAATTCGAAATTATCATTTTGAAATAATTCACACCTATTCAACACACTTGGAAAAAAGTAGAAAATCACTTTTGTCTTAATTTTTTTCAAGATATTTTCATTATGCTCACTAGTTATAAGAAAATGCATGTATAGCTTCGGTATTAACACAAAAACAGTTGACATACACGTTTAACCGTACTCAGATCAGAAACATCTAATTGCTGTGAAAAATTTCATAGGGGTGTCCACAACCGGCGCACTTCCCCTACTCGCAGAGTCCAATGAACCCACTTTCCCGCCCAAGGGTTAAACTTTTTTTTTATTGAACACTTTATTGGTAGTCGGATATTAACAGTGAGTAGAAATTTTTCGTGTCAATTTAAAAGAATTTAGAAGATGCGTTAGATCATCAAGTTTTTGTCCATTCCAAACTTTAATGTATTAAAAAAAATCGTTTCTGTAGAAAAGCTGTACAAATTATTGTGTCATTTAATAATGCTGAAAATTTCAAACTAGTTTTTGTTTTCGAAAAAGAAATTACTCTACTTTTCCCTCTGTCTCTTTCTTGAGCATTAGAAAAGAGTCGGTTCTTAGATTCAGATTCTCAATCGACGTACATCTAATTTAATTTTTTTAGAATACGAATGAAACTGCACTGCACTTAGCCGTCCTTCGTGAATTAGGAAATAGTCTATACATAGTAGACTTTCTCATCCAAAATATGCCAGCCGGTGGAATTGATAAAACAACTGTCGATGGAGATACTGCATTACATTTATCCGCACGTCATGATAAAGCTGAAGCTATGAGATTACTTCTTAGAGCAGGTGCAGATTCTACGCTTCGAAATAATTTGGACAAAAGTTCTATAGAAATAGCCCAAGATATGGGTCATCACACATGTAAAGAACTAGTTAGTATTCTTTTGTGTTTTAACAATAAGTTTTAAAGAAAAATAATTTTACAGTGTATTTATAGTTTTGACATTTTTAGTTAAGTCATGCTGTACAACGACAAAAGTCTTTGTTTGATAATGTGAATATTGATTGGAATCTTTTACATGATGAAGGATCCACTGATTTTTCTGATGATGAAACAATAATTGAAGATAGAGTATGTAATAAAAATAATAATATTCTGTATGTAATATCATTATGAATATTTTTACAAATTACTTTTGTAAAAAGACATATATGAATTTTAGTTATATCGACCTCCGAATGGTACTCTAACGCCAGAAAAAAAATCTAGAAGTCGACCACCATCATATGCAGGTGGAGGAAGTACAGGAACTGGGGACTCTCCAATTACTTTGCGAAGTCGAAGTAGTACTTGTGACAGTTTACAAAGTGGTTCATCACCAAATTCTTGCATAATCAAACAGCAAATGCCAACACCACTTCCATCTCAAGTAAAAAAAGCTGTTGGTGAGTTTGTAAAAATACATTTTTTATGATAAATTTTTCTTTTCGGTTTTGAAAATAAATCTTTCAAAATGGTGAAACAATAAATTATTGGCCTAATTCTTTATATAGAACATTATTTCTTAATTGTCTAAATAGAAAAAAATATCTAGGATTTACTTGATGCTAAATGATACACTGCATAAATCATTGCTCTTCAATATCTCTTGAAGAGTAATAGTTACAGATATCAGCTATTTACAACAGGTGGCTCTGATGAACATTATTAAAAGCCTAATAAATAATAATTAAATATGCTTTGAAATTTTCGCTTTAATTGTGCTAAGTATTTTTTGAGCATAGCTTTATAAATATTTTCGCATCTGAAATTACAAACTTTCTGAAATTTTTGTACATCAAAAACATATTTTATGGCATATACATTTTTTCAAAAAAATGCATTTATTTAGAGATAAATGCGAAAAACGACAAAACACCATAGAAATGACAAAAAAAATTTGGGGCAAATGTGCTTATCATTGTAAAAACCATAAATAACACCATAAAATCATGGTTTATTGCGATTAACTCGTGAAAAACACAAAATTTTGAAAAATGTTTCACACAAAAGTTGTAGGTCTCAAAAAAACACACATTTTATATCCTATACTTTTTCTTAAAAAAATGCACTATTTTTGAGTTAAATGCAAAAAATGACAGAACACCATCAAGACATCACAGAAACATCCGACTTTGTCAGCTGAATACTTTCGGCCATAACCAACCCTCCCGCCAAGGTTTCTTTCAAATATAAACAAAGGAGTACTATTCGCGGCCGAAGGCCGCGTACTGTTAAAGCCATAAGGCAAAATTGTTATATCGTGTTGTCGTATGGATTCGGGTGTCTCCGACTGCGTTCGGAACAGCGACCCCTGTTGAAAATTCCTATGTGAGAACACATATGGGATCCCATCCAGGATCTCTTGTGAGTTCTTATGTGGGTTCCCATACAGGTTCACACATAAGATCCTGTATGAAAAGGTTCCTGAGATGAACTTGCGTGAGAGCTCGCGCATGATCTTATGTCTCTGTAAAAGCAATAACACAGGATCCCGTGAGGTTTCCTGTGTAGGTTCCTATATGAACAACACGATAAATAGGAACACACATGGGATCTTATCCAAGATCCTATATGAACAACACGATAAATAGGAACACACATGGGATCTTATCCGAGATCCTATATGAACAACACGATAAATAGGAACACACATGGGATCTTATCCGAGATCTTGTATGAGTTCTTACATAGGTTCTCACCTATAAGAAGATTAATAGCTATAATAGATTAATAGCTATTAATCTTCTTATAGGTGAGAACCTATGTAAGAACTCATACAAGATCTCGGATAAGATCCCATGTGTGTTCCTATTTATCGTGTTGTTCATATAGGAACCTACACAGGAAACCTCATGGGATCCTGTGTTATTGCTTTTACAGAGACATAAGATCATGCGCGAGCTCTCACGCAAGTTCATCCCAGGAACCTTTTCATACAGGATCTTATGTGTGAACCTGTATGGGAACCCACATAAGAACTCACAAGAGATCCTGGATGGGATCCCATATGTGTTCTCACATAGGAATTTTCAACAGGGACACCTTGTGTGAGTGAATGATATACATATTTTTAGTTTCTCGATGGCCTTTGACCACGCATAATCATAAAATATCTTTCCTTAAATAAAAACACATAATTGAGATTATTATTGTTTACTTAAACCTTCCTCTTATTAAATCTAAAAGTAACTTTTATTATTTGCTCTAACAGGTTATGGGCCCAGTCTACCCATCCTGTGCTAGAATTACTTTAATAAAAAGAGGATGCATGTGTTCGGAAAGTGTGGCGTGCGCGGTAGCCATATTTTTTATACTTACAGTACAGGCAGCACACGTGTGATTCGCATTCATCATGTCTCACGAGATATCTAATCGAAGCATAAAAAAGTTTGACGGGACAAATTTTCAAGGTTGGAAATTCCAACTACAATTATTATTTATTGCGAATGAAATACGTGAAATTGTAAACGGTGCGTGAGTAAAACCAGAAGACGCTGAGTCGCTCGAAGCGAAATCCTGGATGCGCGATAATGCAAAGGCAATGTTTCTGATATCGTCGGCTCTTGAATATGCTCAACTTGAACTTTTATTGGTGTGTACGACCGCGAAAAAAATGTGGGACAATCTATGCCGTATTCACGAACAAAAGTCTGCTGCAAACAAACTCATATTACTGCAGAGGTTCCATGAGTACCGCATGACTTCGAGTGATTCGATTGTCCAACATATCGCAAAGGTTCGGAATATGGCCGCACAAATTGAAAACGTGGGTGAGAACGTTTCCGAAATAACCGTGATCCCGAAAATCCTTGGAAGTCTATCATCAAAGTTCAGTACTTTTCAAACCGCATGGGATAGCGTCGATCCAGCACGTCAGACTTTGTTTAACCTTGAGGAAAGGTTAATTCGCGAGGAAGTGAGATTAAATGATGAAAACGAAGGTGCAAGTGCATTTGTCGCCCATAAGAGTGATGTGAAAACCTCTAAGTATAAGAAAAAGAATTCAAAACAGAATAAGAAGAATATCAAGTGTTATAAGTGCAATGAAATGAGACATTTCTCGTATTCGTGTCCGACTAAGCAAAATAAAAAACATGATGGAAATGATTCATCACGTGATTGTGCATTTATCGCCGAGAAAGTAATCAGTTCGAATCGTCAAATGATAAACAATTCAGAGAATTGTTTCTGGTCAAATCAAGTGAAATCTGGCTTACCGACAGTGGCGTGTCGAGACATATGACCTATCGTCGCGAATGGTTCACCGATTACCATCCGATCAAAAACGGTCATATCGATAAACGTGCCATTCGTCAACTCGTATCAAAAGGACTCATTCATGGCGTATCACTGGATGATACAAGTGATTTCGATTGTGAAATGTGTGAACTCGGAAAATCGCATCGTTTGCCATTCAAGAAACACGAAAAAGTATCGACAAAACCGAGAGAGGTCTTTCATACCGACGTGTGCGGTCCAATGTCGGCAGAAACTCCAGGGGGTGCAAATTTTTCTTAATGTTTAAGGATGACGCCACCGGGTATCGACATGTCTACTTTTTACGTCATAAGTCGGATGTGTTTGAAAAATTTAAAATTTTTGAAAAAAGTGTCTTCAACGAATTTGGTTGTCGAATGAAAATCCTGAGATCGGATAATAGTGGTGAGTTCCGGAACAAACAAATGGATGAGTATCTCGAATCACGCGGAATAAAGAAGAAGAAAACCGCTCCATACACACCTCAACAAAATGGTAAGGCCGAGAGGGACAACCGAACCATTGTCGAAAGTGCGCGTACCATGCTTCATGCAAAATCGTTACCCAAAACTCTGTGGGCAGAATCAATCTACACTGCGGTCTATGTGCTGAATCTAACACTTTCTTCGGGCGGTAGTGCAACACCATACGAGATGTGGGTGGGAAAGAAACCGACAATGGATCATATCAGGATCTTTGGTTCTGTAACATATGTTTACATTCCAAAACAGTTTACGAGCAAAATGGATCTTCGTGGACAAAAAACGATTCTGGTTGGTTACGAAAACGAATCAACTAATTATCGAGTGTATGATCCAAGCAAAAAGCAAGTGCATTTTTCGCGAAATGTCACATTTTACGAGCGAGTCGGTAAAGTACAGGCAACCGAAGAAGAATCTGATGATTTATGGTCGAAATTATTCTGTGGACAAAGTCGGGTTCGATAATTAGAAGTTCACAAATAGAATGACTGTGATTGGTATATTATTTATTAGTTTACATGGTGTTTTATGGTTTTTTCTCGAAAAATAATTACTTTTGGTAAAAAATATAAACAACATAAAATGTTGTGTTCTTTTGAGACCTACAACTTTTGTCTGAAACATTTTTCAAAATTTTGTGTTTTTACGAGTTAATCGCAAAAAGCCATGATTTTATAGCGTTTTTTTATGGTTTTCATCATTATAACGATATTTGCGCCAAATTTCACTATGATTTTCGAAATCAGCGCACAAAAATACGTTAATATATCAAATTTCATTTAAATCGGATGCATTTTCCATTGTTTTGTCATTTTTATGGTGTTTTGTCGTTTTTCTCATTTATCTCTAAAACAATGCATATTTTTGAAAAAATTTATAGAAAATAAAATATGCATTTTGATAAGACCTTCAACTTTTGTTTAAAATATTTTTAAAAATTTTGCGTGTTTTCCAAGATAATCACAAAAAACCATGATTTTATGGTGTTTTTTATAGTTTTCACCATGATAATCAAATTTGTGCCAATTTTCATTTTCGTAATCAGCGCACCAAAATACGTTAGTGTACCAAGTTTTATTCAAATCGGAGGTGTACCTCTTTCAGAAGTATAAAGCAAAAAGTAAAGTATACACGAAAAGAAAATCCTTTGCAATAAATGTTAAAAATGATACAAAAATTTATTATATTCTTTAGCAAGTCATGGAAATTAAGGCTATTTATTAAAAATTAATATATTTTTAGCAAAAGCTTTGTAGAAACAATTTTAACAGAAATTAAACTTACTATTTTAAAATTCATAAGAAAGTTTTCTTATTTTTACTAAAACTATATGAAAAAGGGAAGCTGAATTAAAAAGCGCGCATTTCGTTTGCTAAAACTATACGAAAAATTGAAAACGACGTTAAAATAAAAGAAAAAAATTTGTCATTATTTACTACCTGTCGAAGGATTGGGTCATCGCTGTTAATTGTTCTCTATTGTAGCAGAGGATGCAGGTATGGTTTATATACACAACTACACACGCACGCAGGTTCGCTTTGACGCAGAAAAAAAACATGCTTTATGTATACCACACTCAGCGCAGTATACATTTCTCCACTGTTCTTTAAAATAAATACTTTTTCTTACTAAGTCATGCTCAGTAAAATTTTGGTTTCCAATTA